CCATATGTGTTTGGTTTGATGATGAGTTGGTATAATTTAAGTATGTATGTGAACCATGTAGCCTATCGGCGTGAGCCGATTTCGGCCGTCGGTACGGTTGTCCCCGTCGATGTAATACGGTTACCTTGCGAGGTAAGTCTCCGTAAGACCTAATTAAAGGCCGTGTCTTGTCGTATGGCACGTACCCCCATGAGTTAGGGTAATGAATCCCCTTTCCTTGGCTAATGAAAGATGTGTACACGTGGGTAATATGTTGTGATGTCATTAGGAGACGTGACAGAATAATTGATTTATGTTTATACTTTAACCATACCTCCTTTACATTATTATTGATGATATATGTGCATAGTGGTGAGCACGCTTTTCATCTTGTGCTCATCCCCACCTGCTCTACACCGATGCAGGTTAAGCAGGAGCTGGGTGACGAGAAGAGGCGAGTGGGTCGGTCATACATTTATTGCTTCCGTTTGAATAAATAAAACTTTATGAACCTTTATGTTGACTTGCTAAAACCTGTTTCCAAAACTTATGACTTGTTTGTTTTTGGAAAACTTGTGGAACCCTCGATTATTGGTTATGATGACGTGTTTTGATTATTCATGTTGAATATTAAGTCTCGTATGATATGTTTTGGTTAATGAAAACCATTTGTGAAAAACCGGGTAATGAATACCCGTGGACCCAGATAAGACTTGGGTTATGAAAATGTTGTTTAACACCCATTAAATTTCGAAAATGATCTCGAAAAATTTGTACTGATTTTTGAAAAGTCCGAAATTTCTGTAAAATCAAAGTGGGGTGTTACACTAATGATGCGCACTACATGCGCTATGCGCGGCGATGCGCGCTGCGCGCGTTCGCGTGCGCAATTGCACGCACGACATACGTGCAGGAGTGTACCTTGTGTACATTCATGACTTAACATAATTTGTCTTCAAAATTAAATTCGAAAATTCTTAACTTTTAATAATTAATCTTGATTAATAATGTCCGTTTATAAAATAAACGGTTCAGAAATTAATTATCGACTTAACTCGGTTAATAATTAACCGAATAGACTTTTTGACTTAAAGTCGAACTTATTCGCTGAAAATGAACGAGAATAATAAAAGGAAATACATCACTTTTTTTAACGAGAAACTGGGTTACTACAATCTACCCCCCTTAAAATATTTCCGTCCCCGGAAATAAACAATTGAACATATATACATGATATAAGAAAAGTATATACATCAAAACTGGAAACCAAGAAAACGAGCGCGGATATCTGCCTCCTGCTCCCAAGTAGCTCCGTGGCGATCCCACTGAACGCGAATAAGGGGAACATTACGATTTCAGAGTCGTCGAACCTGTCGGTCCAACACAGCTACCGGTCGCTCCTCATAAGACAAATCGGGATTGATCTGAACATCGGTATGCGGAATAACATGATCGGGATCGCACACGTATTTACGCAACATGGATACATGAAAGACATTATGAACACTGGATAACTCGGGAGGTAAGGCTAATCGATACGCAACTTCGCCCACTCGCTCGAGAACTTCGAATGGGCCTATGAACCGAGGGTGTAACTTCCCTCTCTTCCCAAATCGAATAACTCCAAGAATTGGGCTAACTCTGAGAAAAGCTCGTTCTCTGACTTCTAACTAAATGTCATGTCTATGCTTGTCGGTCGATGACTTCTGCCGACTCTGCGTTGTTCTAAGCCTTTGCCTGATAAGCTCGACTTGCTCAGTTGTCTCCTCGATCATTTTTGGACCGAGTACTCGACGTTCGCCAACATCGTCCCAATAAAGGGGCGAGCGGCATTTACGCCCGTATAGTGCCTCGAAAGGAGCAATCCAAATCGACGCCTGATAACTATTGTTATAGGATAACTCAACTAACGATAAAATTGATTTCCACTTAGCACCTCTGTCTAACATCAACAGTATGAGCATATCCTCGAGCATCTGAATAATTCTTTCTGTCTGACCATCTGTCTCTGGATGGTAAGCCGAACTGAACTGCAACTGCGTGCCCATCGCCTCGTGTAAACTCTTCCAGAATCTGCTGGTGAATCTGGAATCTCGATATGACACAATGTGGGCGGGCACTCCGTGGAGTCGAACGATCCCACGGGTATAAATCTTGGCTAACTTCTCCATTGACATGGTCATCGATACAGGTATGAAATGTGCGACTTTCGTCAATCTGTCCACTACTACCCAAATCGCATTGTGGTGATCGGACGACTTGGGCAGCCCTGTAACGAAATCCATCGAAATCTCCTCCCACTTCTACTTTGGAATCTCAAGTGGTCGTAGAAGGCCTAAGGGGCTCTTATGTTCGACCTTAACCTGCTGGCAGACCAAACACTTTCTTACGAAACTGGCAACATCCTTCTTCATTCCCCTCCACCAGAAAGACCCTTTCAGGTCATGATACATCTTGCTGCTACCGGGGTGAGCTAGATAAGGCGCGGTGTGTGCCTCTGTCAAGATCTCCTTCTGCAAGGCCTCGACCTTCGGCACTACTATCCTGCCTCGGAACTCTAAGGCGCCATCTGCGCCTCGAGAAAAACCCTCGACTCCTCCGGCGGAAACCTTGGCCTCAATAGCACAAATAAACTGATCATGAGTCTGTTCCTGCCGGATTCTGTCTCTCAACGTAGAATGAATTTGCATCGAGCTAACACTCTCTGTAATCACTGTAGGAAGCGACTCGACGACTTGAATCTACATCCAGGCAAAGTCTTGAATAAGAGAACGCTGCTGAGTAATAGAACAAGATAACTCGCCTTTTACCTTTCGGCTCAAGGCATCAACTACAACATTTGCTTTCCCCGGATGATACTAAATCGTGCAGTCATAATCTTTAACAAGCTCCAACCAACATCTCTGACGCATGTTGAGCTCCATTTGCGTGAAAATATACTGCAGACTCTTTTGATCGGTGTAGATCTCACATCGACCACCATAAAGATAATGCCGCCATATCTTAAGTGCGTGTACCACTGCAGCTAATTCCAGGTCATGGGTAGGATAGTTCTGCTCATGGGGCTTCAACTGACGTGAAGCATATGCTACAACCTGGCCATCCTGCATAACTACACACCCCAAACCTCGCTTCGAAGCATCACTATAGATGGTGAAACTCCAAGAAGGATCGGGAATAGTCAGCACTGGTGCCGTCGTACGTCTCCTTTTCAGCTCTTGAAAACTCGATTCACAACGATCTGTCCATTCAAATGTCACAGACTTCCTCGTCAACTGGGACAAAGGGAGGGCAATCTTCGAGAACCCCTCAATAAATCTGCGATAATAACCTGCAAGGCCGAGGAAACTACGAACCTCGGACGGATTCTTTGGTGCTGACCAGTTCTGCACTGCGGCAATTTTGGAAGGGTCTACTTCAATACTTGCTTGAGTGATAATGTGGCCAAGAAAAGCCACTCGCTGAAGCCAAAATTCGCACTTGGAGAACTTTGCGTACAACTTCTCTCGTCTAAGGGTCGCAAGAACGGCCCTCAGGTGCTCCTCATGCTCTTTCTGGCTCTTAGAATAGATAAGGATATCATCAATAAATACAATAACGAATTGATCGAGAAAAGGATGGAATACACGGTTCATCAAGTCCATGAATACTGCTGGGGCATTACTGAGGCCAAACGGCATAACCACAAACTCGAAATGACCGTATCCCGTACGAAACGCTGTCTTAGGTATATCTGTCTCCTTGATTTTCAACTGATGGTAGCCTGAACGAAAATCAATCTTAGAAAACACGCAGGCACCCCTTAACTGGTCAAATAAATCATCGATCCTGGGAAGCGGATATTTATTCTTGATCGTCAACTGGTTGAGATCCCGGTAGTCGATATACATACGCAAAGATCCGTCCTTCTTCTTGACAAAGAGAACGGGTACTCCCCAAGGTGAGACGCTCGGTCGAATAAAACCGAGATTCAGCAACTCTTGAATTTGGGTCTTTAACTCCTGTAATTCTTTAGGTGCCATTCTGTATGGCGCCTTAGAAACGGGTCTGGCTCCAGGGATAAGATCGATAGAAAAATCCACCTGTTGGCTAGGTGGACCTCCGGGAAGCTGATCTGGGAACACGTCCACAAACTCACGAATAATGGGGATGTCGTGAGGTGACCGTGCTTTTGACTCATCCCCAACGAGGCTCACAAGGTAACCCTGGCAATCACCCCGACGAAGAATCTTCCTGGCTTTCGCCACAGAAATAATATGGGGCAGAGTACGAGTCCTGGAGCCGAAATAAGTGATCTGATCATTTCCCGAAAGATAAAGAGTAATCTCCCGGTCATGACATCGGATATCTGCGTGAAAACGTGTTAGCCAATCCATATCGAGTATGAGGTCAAAGTCCCTCATCCCGATAACATAAGCATCCGTAGTCAAAATACGGCCGCCGATGGAAAGGCTGAGATCGGTGGCTCTGGCATCTGTCACTATATTTCGTCCCGAGGCTAAACTCACCTCGAGAGGATCGACAGTGGTAAGAGAATGAACTCCTATAGCTTCGAGACATCGACGTGATATAAAAGAGTGGGTTGCTCTGGTGTCGAATAAGGAATAAACAGGCACATCATTAAGAACAATCATCCCAGACATGGTACCTGGGTGCTGGTCGGCCTCCCTCTGGTCAACTGCAAAGACGCGGGCCTGCTGTCTGCCGAGTTGCTGTTGCTGGGGTCGTGGTGGCTGTTGTCGAGGTTGCTGCTGTTGTTGTGGTTGCTGAGGTGGTTGACGTTGTTTTTGCAGTCGTTCGGGGCAGTTGGGGCTGATATGGCCTGGCTGGCGACAAACGAAACAGATGTTCTGGCCTATAAGACATTCTCCCCGGTGGCGCTTTCCACATGTCGGGCAGTTTGGTGTCTGTTTGGGGCGATTCCTCCAATCATCTGGGCCTCCTCTGAACTTCCTCTTCTTCTAGTTTTTTCATGATTGGGCAATGTTGGGCTGAGCTGATGGCTGAGCAACTGGTTGGACTAAGGTCGGATTAGCTTCTCGTCGAATACTGGCATCTATCTCCAGGGCAATGGCGACTGTGCGGGCGTTGGTCTGGATGCCGTGACCTATGATGTTGTGGCGGACTACTGGGAGAAGTCCGTCGGTAAAACAAAGAGCTCTCTTCTCCTCTGTACTCACAAGATCGGGTACAAAGGATCTGAGTCGGGTAAACTCTCTTTCATACTCGTCGATAGAACGAGTACCCTGTCTGAGTGCCAGGAACTGGCGCTCCATATCTGCTCGGTAGTACGAGGGATAGTACTTCCCGCGGATCAACTCTTTGAATTGGTCCCATGTACAACCTTCTTTCTCGCAGGGACGCATACTCCAATGGGCATTCCACCAGAGTCGGGCATCACCGGTCAGCTGGATTTGTGCGCATATGACACGATATAGATCAGGACAGTCCATGACCTCGAAAATCATTTCAAGGCCCTGAACCCATTCGTCCACTATACGAGGATCTCCTTGACCGGAAAACTATTCTGGATGGTAGTCACGGAAGTGTGCGACTACTGTGGCCTGAGGGAGCTCCTGATGACCTGGTTCTCTACGAGGCGACATCTGAATATTGAAAATATTAACATAATCAGACGCAAACATGATAGAATTCTTATTAATGCGCACAAATCTCTTGACAAGTTGCTAATATTAACCCGAGAAAACTAAAGTCGAAATATCAAATAACTGGGACAATCGACTTATACTTTAATAATACTTGATCATTGACTCGAGCATCTTACTGGTTTCTAGGGTTAAATATCTGATACCCTCTACTGAGCATAGACTAAAGCATCCGTTTAGATATATAAACTATAACTCAGCACTTACCTGTAGTCGGCGAGGTGTGAGCGTAGCGTGGTCGGGTCTTTTCTGAAAATTTCTTACTTAATAAAGTATTCAGATACACAAAAACGTGCTTTGATACCATTTGTAACACCCCACTAGCTTATTAAAATCGGGGTGCGATTTTCGCAATTTCCTTTCTAAAAAAAAATACGTATTAGCTTGCGAAAACATGTTTTTGGGATGCTACTGATAATACATTACTTTTCTGAAAATCCGTTGACTTAGTTACTGAACTTATTTGAAAAACAAGGATTATCCTTTATTAACATGTTATACTGTATAAATCCGACCCGAAGGTTCGGATCAAAATCTTAAACTAGCATGCCAGATTGAAAGTCTGAAAACTTCAGCGGAAGTCAAAACAATAAATAATATACATATCATAAGTCTGCAAAAACATATTTACTGGACCAACAACCACCTGCTCCGCTCACTCCTCCGGACCGACCCTGTCACCTGAAAAACATTATAAAGTGGGAGCGTGAGCACTAAAGCCACTGTGCTCTGCAGAAACTCATATTAAAGTAAACATTAATAATAACAATATCATGGCTGCAGGTATGCATAAGCAAACTGTAATCTCCAGACACAAGGTCTGCAACTGAACTGAGCTGTCTCGGACAATATGTCCGCCATGTGCACACTCTGATGGATACTTAAGGCCTTGCGCCTCCACCAGAACTTTGGATGGGTACTTAAGGCCTTGCGCCCCCACCCAAAGTGGATAATCTCATATACATACCTTTAAACGTGGCTGAGTAATTATAATCAATGTAATACTTATTCTGAGTTCCCACCTGAACTGCTAATGTAAGTGTTGCTGCTGATCAATCTGAAAAAAATATATATAAATAAACAAATACTAAGTACTATGCTCAGACTGACTGAAAATAACTGTTAAGATGCTCAACTCGATCTAAACATTTAACTGATATTATCTCGGGGTTTAACTTAACTGACAAGAAAACCGGACTGAACTGATACCGGTATACTGAACTGACTGGACTGAAATACTGTACTGGACTCGGACCGGATCAGTAATTACTGAAAAGCTCAAAATCCGGTCTAAACCGGCCGGTTTATTTTCTGGCCGGACTGCCGGCTCGCTGCGGCCGGGCGGTCGGCTGCTTACTGACCACGGACTCGGTTACTCGCGCACTAGGCGCGGCCTGGGCGCTGCCGGCGCTGCTGGCACTGGCTGACTTGGTCCCGTGCGCTGGCAGGTGCTGTTGGCACCGTGCGTGCGCTCGGACGGTCACTGGCGTGCTGCTGTGCACAGCCAGCAACGGCTGGATGCTTGTTGGACATAACTGGCCGCTACCGTGCACGCTGGCGACAGTACTAGCACATACAAGTACTACCGGGCACTGCTGTGCGCCGTAGGTAGGTGACTGGCACACGGGTTGCGCGTGCTGGGCTGACTGGGCGCTCAGGCGTGCTGCCGGGCATCACCGAGGCTCGCTGGGCATCGCTGGCACGCTGCTGGACATGCTGGCATGCGTGACTGCTGGCCAGTGTGCGCTGAACGCTGCTGGCGTGCGTACCGGCATCGCAGGATACGCGGCTGGGCGTGTGATGCGCAGCGATGTACGCGGCTGGCTAGGTGGACACTACTGTGCGTGTTGACGCGCACTGTGCACGTCTACGCGTCTGACTGGGGCTTGACTGCCGAGTACTGGGCACGCGTGCGCGTTACTGGGCGCGCGTACGCTGCCTGCGTACTCGTTGGGCTTGCCGGGCGCGCCTGTGTGCACGCTGCGTGCGGTAGGTATCTCGGTCGGCATTTCGCCAGCCGTCCGGCTACTTTTTCCGGCAACCCTTACATGACTGAGTATAAAATGACTTGAAATGACTGAATATGCATAGATTACTCGGGACTTGGCGGTTACTTTTTGAAATCACTCGGAGAGGCTTATATAGCACCTCCAAGGCCATTTTGCTAAAAACTTTGGACCGAACAACATGATTTCAACATGATCTCCTTAAAATGAACTTAATTACATAATAAGAGGGTAAATAGGTATATACCCTTCAGTTCGGTCGAGGATTGCACGATAACTCACGTGCATGTTGGTGCTTAGTTGCGTACGTTCTTGCTTCTCCTTTGCTTCCTCTTTCCTTAGCTATTATTATACTATTTTTCTACAATTTTTCCTTACTATTTTCTCTCAGATTTTTGGCTGAAGTTTGGCTTGTTCTTGCATGAAAATGCATGGGGAGAATGTCCCACATGCTCGGTTATTTAAAGGGATAAAACCGTGAGGAAAAACTCGGTCAAAGGAAGGATGAATGATGATTTTTCCCTTGTTGCCATGTGTCTCGGCCAAGTACTGAGGTGTGGCGTTTTAGGCTCAGTCATCGCCGAGGTGTCAAGCATGCACGGGCTTAGTCATCACCCGTGCATGCGTGTTGCACCATGTGTGCAAGATACTAGGTGATTCATCACCCCACTTGCACACCCAACACTTATCTTTAGACTTTCCCACACGGTAATCTTAGGGAGGGAATTTGGCTTGATCATGTTACTAGGCATTGCCTAAGTGCGTGCTTAGCGGCTTAATGATGCGCACTACATGCGCTATGCGCGGCGATGCGCGCTACGCGCGTTTGATGAGGATCGTGTGTTTCGACTGCCGATAAGCCGCTAACCCGCGCCTTGAATCGCCGATAGGTGTTCTTCGAGCCACAACAGCGCCTCTTGGAACGAATAAAATTGCAATAGTATTCTGGTGAAAAGACTAAAGCAAAGTTAGAAGAACAAAGTTCTAGATTTCTATTGATGTCTTGAATGATGAAAAATAACATGGGGGAGGGTCCTTTATATAGGCACCAAATAGATGTAATCCTAATATATCTATAACTCTAAGAAAGAAATAAAATATTAAGTATCCTAACTAAGCTAGATATCATAATGGAATAAGGGAACTAAATATCTTGGCTTGCACACCAAGTCGTCCAACCGTCTCTCTCTCTCTCCTATGCGTGCGTAGGTCGGCCACCGCCTCTCGCCTTGCCCTAGTCCTCGAGGACTAGGGCGCCGCCTCCTTCGCGCGTGCATGTCCGCCTGCCGTGTCGCGCACGCCTTTGCTGCCAGCCGCCTCATCATGCGCGTGGTGCCCCGCCAGTCCGCATTCCTCGAGGCATGCGGTATCCAGCTCCGCGCGTGCCTGTTCGTCATGCGCACTCCGCGCGCCTCGCTTGTCCATCCTTGTTGCGCGCGCGTCTCCGCCAATCGCCTGCGTGCTGCTGCCTCGCGCTGCGTCCGTCTTGCCCAGCGCCCGTGCACACCGTGTGTCCGCGCATACGACTCGCGCACCCTCGTTCGGCCTTTTCTTGCTCGCCCCGCGCGCACTACGCTCCAGTGCGCGTACCTCTGCCGTCTCTCGAGCCGCCCTTTTGAGTGCGTGATATGCCCGGCTCGCAGCGTTCTTGAGCTGTCTAGCCACTTCCGCATCATTCCCGTCCCCTTCAAGTGAATCCTTGCCCTCAAGGATGAAGTTCGGGAACTGATCGCGCATCTCTTCAAGATCTTCCCACGTGGTTTCTTCGGATGGCAACTCTTCCCAGTCAACTAGTACTTCCCAATGGTAGCGCCCTGCTCTCTTTACCTTATGGTACTCAATCGCTCGTTTTGGGCGTACTATGGCCCTGCCATCGGCTGCGGTTGCTGGTAACTCCTCGCAATACTTATGCGCTTCTCCTAGGCTCCTCTTGAGTTGCGAGACATGGATAACTGGATGGATTTGTGAACTTTCTGGTAACTCTAGACGGTAAGCTACCTGACCAATGCGCTTCAGAATCTGATAAGGCCCATAATAGCGAACTCCAGTTTAGTTGCGGCTCTTTGTGCTGTGGTGCGCTGTCTGAATGGTCGTAGCTTCAGGTAGACATACTCGCCTGGTACAAAATTTTCCTCACGCCTTTTCCCATCTGCGAAGGCTTTGGTTCGATTAATTGAACCTTCGAGATTTTTCTTCAATTCTCGCAACATCAGATCTCGTTCCTCTAGTTCTCGACCAACCTCGTCATTGACTGTACTCCCCTTCGAATAATTAATCGGTGTCGGGGGTTTTTGCCCGTATACCAACTCAAATGGCGTCATCTTGGCCGACTCGTGGTAAGTGGTGTTGTACCAATACTCAGCCCAGGGCAAAGAGTTTTCCCACCGCTTTGGGAATTGATGGACGTAGCATCTCAAATACTGCTCAAGGGTTCGGTTAGTTACCTCCATTTGTCCGTCGGTCTGTGGGTGGTAGGCCGAACTCATAGACAACTTTGTCCCTTGCAATTTGAAGAATTCAGACCAAAAGCTGCTCATGAAAATCCTATCTCGATCAGAGACAATGGATCGCGGTGCTCCATGCAGTTTCATCACATACTCCACAAATAACCTGGCAATCGACTTTGCGGTGTAAGGATGGGTAATGGGTATGAAGTGAGCATACTTTTTGAGACGATCCACTATAACCATAACACCTTCAAACCCATTGGAACTCGGTAACCCCTCGATGAAATCCATAGTAATGTCTTCCCAGATCGCCTCGGGTACTGGTAGTGGTTGCAACAGCCCGTTCGGTCGTCATGAGTCAGACTTAGTGCGCTGGCAATCATCGCATCGTGCTATGTAGTCT